TGTTGTTTTCGGTTGCAGGGTGCTCAGCTGGTTATTTTTGCACCCCCACCACTTTCCGAAACTGTACATCTTGACCTTTTGGTTGGGACCTTGCCTATTAGTGGTGCTGTTTGTGGTTGCAAGTGGAATGCAATCTGTACAAGGCCCCGTATTTTAAGCATGTGTTGGTCATGATATGTTATTTTCCATGACCCGTTCCCACTACGTTTTAAATCCTAATTCTCTCCTAGTATGTTATTATTTCAACTCTATTTTTCTTCTAATTCTCTCCTAGTATGTTATTATTTCAACTCTATTTTTCTTCTAATTCTGTAGTCTAAGGTTCTTACCATTCTGTATTGCGCACGGCCTGATCTACAACAGAATGGTCCTGATCACGAGGAAGGTCAGCCACTTAGCAATTTGTCTGGCAGTTGGCTTTCTGCCGAAATTACACAGTGCACATGACAAACACCTTCTGAATTGAAGAACGTAGGCAGAAAGCTGGCTGCCTGACAAGTTGCTAAGTGGCTTGCTTTCGTCCTGATTCTAGATTTCTGTTCTGTGCTGGAATCCAAGCTTCACCTTCTGAATTGGGGGAAAAGGTCCATATTGCTACCTTGGACATAATCCTTTGTAAGACGAGACCATGTCTATGTCAAATTTTGACCTACTACTGTTTGCCCCTTATCTTGACCAAAGGTCATATCAGGCTTCTTAGACGCACCCAGGAAGAGCATCAGTGGGCCGTTGCCATCAAAACTGCCATTGAAAAAATTCCAGATCTTGATCATTTGTCAGATTTCGTGTATGCCCAGTTTGCCATCGTTTCTCAAGGCAATGTTGATGATGCCGTTGTGAGGGCATTCAGACTTCAAGAGCATAAGGAAGAAAATCAAATAATGGATACATGGGATGATGCAATGCGGAATTTGCCAAGAGATGATAACTATTTCCTCTCTATTGACTACAATCTCCAATCTGGTGGCTACATTGTTGCATTTGACGCTGCAAAGGCCAATGGGGCCAACTGGACGAATCCGGATGAGACACGCTATTACAACCGCAGGCAATTCTATGCTTCCTATATGTCATTTTGTGATTTTGAGGCACTCAGGGGTGGCGTTACTATTCTTATTGAATGTGAGGGGCACCAGATGGTCAAAGGGAAATCATTTGACATGACTGCATTTCGATCCGTTTGGAGGAGTGTGCATGCATATCCAAGAAATGTGCAGCAAGTCAAATTTTTTAATGCTCCTCCACTCTTCAAGATGATGGTGTCAATGGCAAAATCAGTTTTGCCCAGAGAAATCACATCTAAATTTCATCTTTCTGCCAAATGTCCATTGGGAAGACTGGACCGGCTGTACTCCCTTCCAACCCCCGAAATAGCAAGAGCAAGGTTGAAAGAGCGAATCAAAGGGCTTCTAGCAAGACGATTTGCCAATGGGGCAAACTTTTGTCTGGATGACCATGCTCCTTTTGTGGACAAGGTGATGGGTTCCGGAGAAGTACACTAATCTGGTCTAACATGATCTTATTTACTGCTATTCCGACGAAAATGCCTTCTTCTTCCTTTCAATAGTTTGTCCTAATTAATGCTCCATGGAAACTGGAGCGTCCGGGACCTGGAGAGGTCCCATACTAATACTCTCCCAGGTCGCTCCACGAACACACTGCCAATACCGAAGCAGGAAGACATTGAGTACCAAACTCCATGTGGCCTTTTAGACATGCTCTAGCTACTAGCCGATGTAACCATCTTTCTAGTACAGTAGAGCTAAGAAAGCGAAGAAGAAAAAATGGATGGACCAATGCCTACGAGGTACTGGTACCATGGTACTGTGCATGTATGGTGCAAGTGAGGACGTTGACATTATCATGCTATTATAGTCTTACAGCTCAGCCAGATTAGATTACATGAGAATCACGAGGTGGTCTATTGCGGCGATTTCAACCAAGACCCATCAGCAGAGAAGCATGAAGCAAGGGAGGTTTACTAATATGTACAAATCGAAAGCCTCCGCGGCTGTTGCAGCTGGTACCCCGCCCCTGATGCTGCAATCAATCATTTGTTGCCTCCAACTTGACTAACTAACTATGGATCCTGAAGGTTTCAGATATGGAAGCCCACTGAGGAGGGATCAGACTCTGATGAAATCTCTGCTATCACTGAACCTCCGGGTATCCCTGACACTCACAAGAGCGACAAGATCAAGCTACCTGCAAACGAGATTTGTGGTGGCGATTCTGGCTGTAACGACTCCGGCAATGAGGCAGACATCGAGACAGACTCTGGCTGCAGTGACTCCGAAGACTCCTCAGGGCATGCGAGCAATGGTAGTGATGATGATAATGGATCCCCAGAAGAGAACCAGGAAGATCCAGCAAAGAAATTGCCACCCAACCAAGCCACACATAGCCATGGGGTTGATTCAGGACACAACAATGAGAATGACACCATCATGACACAGTTGGCCGCGGATCTTCTTCAGCAATACGACCCCTCCAGAACGGAGTTGACTCAGGAAGAGCATCAGTGGGCTGTTGCAGTTAAAACTGCCATTGAAAAAATCCCAGATCTCGACAATTTGACGGATTTTATGTATGCTCAGATGGCCATTGTTTCTAAAGGCAATGTTGATGATGCCGTTGTGAGGGCATTCAGACTTCAAGAGCACAAGAAAGACAACAAAATAATGGACACCTTGGATGATGCGCTGAGGAATCTGCCAAAAGAAGCTCACTACCTCTCTATTGACTACAACATCCAATCTGGTGGCTATGTTGTTGCATTTGACGTTGCAAAGACCGATGGAGCCATGTGGAGGAATCCAGAAGAGACATGCTATTACAACCGCAGGCAATTCTATTCCTCCCAAATGGCACATTGTGATTTGGATGCACTCAGGGTTGGCCAAACTGTTCTTGTTGAATGTGGAGGGTACCAGCTGGTCAAAGGAAAAAGAATGGACTTGAGTGCATTTCGATCCATTTGGAAGAGTGCGCATGCATGTCCAAAAAATCTTAAACAAGTCAAATTCGTTTATTGCTCCTCCTCTCTTCAAGATGATGGTGTCGATGGCAAAATCAGTGTTGCCCAGAGAAGTCACATCTAAATTCGATCTTTCTGCCAAATGTCCATTGGGGAGACTGGACCACCTGTACTCCATCCCAACCCCAGAAATAGCAAGAGCAAGGTTGCAGGAACGAATGAAAGGGCTTGTAAAGAAACGATATGCCAATGAGGCCAAGTTCAGTCTCGATGACCATGCTCCTTTTGTGGAAAAGGCCTAGGGGATGGATTCTGGCGAAAAGCACTAATGTGGTCCAACATGATCTTGTGTATGCTATTCCAACTTAGTTGTTAGCTAGCTAGCTAGACAAAAATGCCTTACTCTTGCTCTTCAGCAGTTTGTCCCAATTGATACGGTCAACCTTTCTTCTTTCTTGACGGATGGATGTGGCGAGCTTACTGTCGGCACAACTTGGGATCAAAGACAAGTCTCTGAGCGCTACATTACTTATTTTTAATTGGCAACGCCCATAAATGTGCAGGTGGACGAGACAAGGAACCAAAACCAGCAAAAACCCAAGAGGAGCAACAATGTGGCCAGCCACGAGTGGACCAAACTAGCTGCCACGGATCGTTGGATTGATAGAACGTGCAGCTGCAGCTACAATGGGGATTATTTGATCCAGGCAAACAGACAGACATGTTGGCACACGAAGTCCAGTTGCTAGCTAGTAGCTATGTGTAGTTATCTGGTGTTGGTAGCTGACCGAGTGATCCAGGATCCAGGTCATGTACCAAATGGTACAAAAGACTTCCATAAAACCAAATTATGCGTTGGAGACTTCAAGGATTTAAAAGGTCAAAGACCAAATACTGTTTCGATTAACAGCTGATTCCAAGAACATGTGAGTCCTTGTATACGGTAGGGGGTTTTAGAGTAGGGAAATTATCTACGGAAGCCAGTGTCCTTGTTGATTGTTGATTCTTGGGCTCGACTCAATGTCCCGGTAGGGCACGAAGACGAAACCCTGAAACCTTCTCACCGACCAGCACACACCGGCATAAATTACCGGTACGGTAGCACCACAGCCATCATCATCATCATCATCATCAAACACCCTCTGCCTATCCACATCCTCAAAAAGCCACTGCAGTTGGCTCGCCATGAACCTTATTATTAGCCTTTTCCTCCTTTCCTTCGTGCCTTTTGCCACTGAAGGCGGGCCCGTGGCGAAAAGTTTTGCAGTTGATGATCCATCCTGCATGGGCGTCATTGGTGCCGTGGATGTTGACCTTAACAACAACAGGTCCGACTGGACGACGACCGACACGAAACATAACGCATCTTGTTCTGCACAAGAAACAGACGACCAGTTTTGGTCGGAGCTCCACCAAAATCTGTTGGATTGGAGATTTCCCGGTCATCCGTGCGAACCGGAACACGAACAGGGACTCCAAGCGCAACCCATGTCGGCTTGTGTGGGAGTCCTCCTCTCGTGCTATCTGTTTGTCAAGTTTGTCATGGGGGTACACAACCAACGCCCCACGGCCATTTGCCTTGCCGTCTTGGCATTGTTCGCCGAAAACACGGTCCACATGTTGGCCCATACCGTTGGGACTCTGGATAGTCGATCGTCTTGGACGGTGGCACAATTGGCACGAGGCGAGTGTACACATGTCTTTCACTACATCATGACGTTGGCAACCGCGTGTGGTCTTGGTAACCAAGTGGGGCATCCTAAATCCAAGGCATGGAAACTTGTATTCCTCGTCACGGCCATTTTGGATTTGGTCTTGTTCCTCCAGTTTGGGATTAGTTTCTACTCCATGGTCTGTGGAATTCTCATGACTGCCATTGTGTATGCGGGCTACTATCCCCGACTGGATGCCACCTCCAAAGCCAGGATCTGGTCCTTGACACTCTTGTCCACCACATTGACTCCTCTGGCGTTTGCCAATGAGAGCCTGAATTGTGAGTACATGGTGTCACTTCTTGCTCCTGTGGCCCCGCACTGCTTGATTGAGATCTTTTTGACAACGCCAACCTTTTGGGCACTGGAAAAGCTGGTCACGGAATCTCATGCTGAAACAAACTACGACAAGTCAGACTCATACCGAGAAGGAAGTCTGAGGAGCTAGCTAGCTAGCTACTAGTCGCCAGCTGATGTCTGTCGAGGGGAACTTCGTTGAGTTCGTGATTGAAAGAATGAAAAACATGTAAATTTAGTTTATGAAAATGTGTATAATGGCGACTTTTTGAGTTTTGCGTCGCTCTCTAGCTTTATCATTGTCTTGCCTGCTTGCTTGTAGCCTCTCTTGGCATTGGATCCATTCATTCATTCATTCCTTCCTTCCTTCATCAATCATTATTGTTACTGATGCACTGTTGTTGACTATCCCTCCCCACACAGTTCCCTTGCAGCACATTGGAACAATCAAATGAGGCGTAAAAGGCTCCCCCGTCATTGGGCGCCAAGTCGCAGGATTGACAGGTTTGCATTTGCGCACTGCCAAACAATAAGTTGTTGTTACTGCCCGAATTGCCGCCCGCATCGACGGCCACCATGCAGAAACACCGTTCTGGGGACGGTACTTCGGACTGAGTCGGACATACCGTGGACATGGTGGAGACGACGTTGGAAAAGGGGAAATTGTTGTAAACACAAAAGTATTGATTGTGAAAACCAGACCCCGGTTCGTTAATGAGTCGGCAATTCAAGGGTTGGAAACCGGGTGGTGGCGGTGGGAGTGTAATGGTGGGAGCGGGGGTTGTTGGATTGGATGTGGGTGTTGCCGTGGGTAAGGGGGAAGGAGGCAATGTGGTAGGGGACTGGGTTGGCCCCGGAGAAGGAGCCACTGTGGGAGTGGCTGTGGGAGAGGTCGTAGGAGAGCCCGTCGGAGAAGCCGTGGGACCTCCAGTAGGACCTCTCGTTGGAGAGCCAGTAGGCGAAGTTGTTGGACCGTCGCTAGGAGAAGATGTCGGCAGTTTGGTGGTTGGTGATTGCGTGGGAGACTGTGTGGGTCCTGGTGTGGTTGGTTGTACGGTGGGTGCATCGGAAGGAACCCCCGTTGGACTGTTGGATGGCGACGAGGTTGGTGCTGTCGAGGGGCTTTGTGTTTTTCGTGTGGTGGGTGCGTTGGATACTGTTTCAGAGGGTCGAAGTGACGGAAGTTGTGTGGTGGGTGCATTGGATGGAACAAAAGACGGTGTTGTTGTGGACGGCACAGCTGTAGATGGAGCAGCCGAAGGCACGTTGGTCGGTTCGGTCGTTGGGGCGAGGGATGGTACGCTTGTGGGTGTACTGGAGGGTGAGGGTTGTAGTGTGGTTATAATGTCGAATTGAATGCCTCGGATCACTGTAGGCATAGTAGTAGATGCAAGAGAACTTGGCGTGCTGCTGGGTGACGAGCTCGGAGAACGAGATGTGGAAATGGCAGTGGGTGCAGAGCTTGGAGGAGACGTGGGCACGGAGCTGGGTGAAAAGGTCGGAGAAAAAGACGTGGGGCTAGCACTGGGGCGCGAGGTGGGTGATGCAAGCGTCGGAGCATCCGTGTCCATGATGGCGCTTGGCCTTTGCGTTGGCGTATTCGTGACGCTGGTGGTGGGTAGCATTGTTGTAAAGGATTGTTCCTTGGTAGTAGAAGGTGCCATGGTGGGAGTTGTCTTTGTTTGTTGCTGTGTATTGTCGAACGAGGTTCCAGTAATGTCGAAAGGTTCCCAGGAGGTCGGCGCCACGGTCCTGGTAGTAGTGTTGCTGGCTTCGTGTGTAGGACTGTCGTCTCCTCCTTCCTGCTGTTGCATGCCTACAAGGGCGACTCCCATGACGCCCACGAGCATTAAGAGGAGCAGAACGAGCAAGCACTGACAGGTGCGACTGGTCAAGATACTCGTCAGCCAGTCATGGTCGTCATCTTCCATGAAAGTTACTTCGGAAAGAGATCCCCGCGAGGCGGTCATATTGGTGGTGGAAACATCGCTGCTACTGGCTTCATCCGATTCCGCCAGGACCGACAGTGTTCGCCCCGAGTTGTGGACTTGGCGACGAAACTGTTGGCGGTTTTCTCCTTGCCGTTGTTTGCTCTTTTCCACGGTCGATTGGAGACCCGTTACAGAAGATCTCGCTCTTCGTCGTCTTCTTCTGCGACGTCGGTTGCTGTCACTGCGACGAGAGGCATTAGTCCCAAACGCAAAGGGAAGAAGAGATAACCATCCTTGTTGGGTAGTGCTGGTAGTTGTAGAAGAATTCTCTTCTTCCGTCTCGGAAACTTCATCTTCTTCTTCCGAGACAAAGCCGTCAACGTCAATCCCAAGGTCATCTCCAAAGGTTTGAGCCTCCAGAGCATCTACATCCACTTCATTCGTCGTATCGTACGGATGCTGCCCATCATAGACAGATGTACCGGCGGGCCTTTCTTGCCAGGATGATTGTCGGGCCATTATCGTTGTCAAGTTGCTCCTACTGGCTGGCTATAGTGTGGGTACGCCTCCTCTTCACGCTCTACTAAAATAATGGAGAAGAAAAAATGTTGTGCTTGCCACCAACAGACAAGGGCATAAAAAAATGATGGCGTAGTCCAGCACTCGGGAACGCTTTACAACGGCTGGCCAAAAGCATTCGCTCGACCGCGTAGGGGACGCTTTTCCTTTAGGGTGGGAGCACGGTAGTTAATTGGAATCACGAGTCCATGAAGGTGAGTGTCTCGTACTCTGTTAATGCTTTTGGGTTCGCTAATAAGAAAGGACCGGTGAGGTGGGCGTCTCACTTTTCCCAGACGTGGATATAAATCCTTACAGAACCAATAATTGGCGAACCGCGTAAAGATTAAATTCGATTCGATTCGATTTGCCTCATCATTCGCCTCTCATCGATTGGAATCGAAAAGATCGTGTGTCGGGTGACTGAATTCCCACACCCACAAACTCTAACACGGAGAGCATGAAGCTCTTACCCTTTGATGAGAGCTTTGACACAGCTATTACGGCCCCAGTACCGTAGCAACCCCACACCATGCCCTCAACCGATCCTAGTAGGAGGAACGACAACGAGAGTGCTTCCAATAATTGCAATCATGAGGATTATGCTGACAATGAGACAACATCGTTGACCGACCAGAGGCAACCCCCGAAAAAGCCACAATGGTTTGGATCGGCCGTCACAGATGCCAATCAGGGTGCCGCCGGATTGCCACCGTATCCCTTTCCTCCACCGTTGCAAAATGCCATGGCACATCATCTGGAAAAAGCCGCCACACGACGAGCCCAGGCACTCGATGCTATTACCACCGATTCTACTAGCAGTATGATGTTGATACAAGACTATCTCCAGTCGCCGCTTTCGAAAGAAGGATACTTTGGCTTTGATACCCAGGAATATCCCCTCCGAGAAGCGTTTCAAACCGCCATTGGGTTGTCACCCGAACTGGAGCTTACCAGTATCCATCGACAACCACCCGGAAAATTACACTTGCTTCAATATTTGACACGACACTACGCACCCTTCCAAGAAGTCTACGATGAATTTGTACGACGGGTGTGCTGTCCCCACCTGGCTGCGCTGTACGATCAAAACAATACTACCAATTTGGACGTGATTTATTATCAATGCTTTCCCTGTGTCCGCATGATCACACCGGGAGAATTCAGCATTGGACCTCATGCCGATATCAGTTACGGGCATCATCCCATGACGACCAATTTCTATGTGCTCTTGACCGATTTAGTGGCAAATGAATCCTCGGCCGCACTCTTTTTGGAGAGTCAAATGGGAGCACAGGATTGGCATCCCATTGTGGGTCGCTATGGAGATATGGTGAAACATTTTGCCGGTGCCCTGTGTGCTCATTGGACCACTGACAATTGTACCGCCAACACACGGGTGAGTTTGGATTTTCGTCTCTTACCGGGACCGCTCTACCATTCGGTCGAGACACAACCACACAATGTCTATCGGGAAAAGGAGGGATACTACAGTCAGTGTCGTCGTGGGGTTGGTCGAGATGGTGAATGGGAGAGGATGGGGCCTCTCCAGGTCCCGGATGCTCGGGTGGGCTTTCCGTGGACCGTTTCTAATTGGGACAAACTATTGAAGAAGGAGGAGAAGACAGCTGCATCTGGCTAGCTAGTTAATAATTACTATTATGACTGGGTTAGATTGGATGGTATTCGTTTATTTGTCCAGAACTCAAGCCTCCTCCAAAAAAGGAGCATGGCCATCCAGACTAAAGTTTGCCCCATTGGCGAATCGTCTTGCTAGAAGCCCTTTCATTCGCTCTTTCAACCTTGCTGCTGCTATTTCGGGGGTTGGCATGCAGTAGATCTGGTCCAGTCTTCCCAATGGACATTTGGCACCTAGATGGAATTTAGATGTGACTTCTGTTGGCAACACTGCTTTTCCAATTGACACCATCATCTTGAAGAGTGGAGGAGGATTAAAAAATTTGACTTGCTTCAGATTTCTTGGATAGGCATGCACACTCCTCCAAACGGATCGAAATGCATTCAAGTCAAATGACTTCCCCTTGATCATCTTGTGCCCCTCACATTCAAGAAGAACGGTAACGCCACTCCTGAGTGCCTCCAAATCACAAAATGACATATAGGCAGCATAAAACTGCCTGCGGTTGTAGGAGCGTGTCTCCTCTGGATTCGTCCAGTTGGCCCCATTGGCCTTGGTAATATCCATAGCAACAATGTAGCCACCAGATTGGAGATTGTAGTCAATAGAGAGAAAATAGTTATCGTCCCTTGGCATATTCCTCAGTGCATCATCCAATGTGTCCATTATTTGATTTTCTTCCTTATGCTCTTGCAGTCGGTAGGCCCTGGCAACGGCATCGTCAACATTGCCTTGAGAAACAATGGCAAACTGGGCATAGACGAAATCAGTCAAATTATCAAGATCTGGGATTTTTTCAATGGCAGTTTTGATGGCAACCGCCCACTGATGCTCCTCCTTGGTGAGCTCCATTCTGGAAGGGTCGTCTTGCCCACATAGATCCGCAGCAAGCTCATTTATCATGGGGCCGTTGTTGCGCTCTGTGGCTTGATTGGGTGAAAATTCCTTCGTTGGATCTTGCTGGCTGTCGTCTTCTGTGAATCCATCATCATCATCATCACTATCACTACTGGAGTCACTACTACTGCCAGAGTATGCGTCAATGTCTGCCTCATTGCCCGAGTCGTTGCCTGACTGTTCTGCAGGTAGTTTGTTGTTGTTGTTGTACGTGCCAGCGGTACTGTTAGGTTCGGCGAGAGCAGCGGATTGATCGGAGATGGGTTGGTCGTGGATACCGCTAGGTTCGGTGATTGCAGAGATTTCATCAGAGTCTGATGCTCCCTCCTCAGTGGAGCTTCCATATCTGAAACCATCAGGATCCATAGTTAGTTATAGTTGGGGGCAACAATGGATTGATTGAGGGGTGCCACGAAGCAACAGGAGGAAGCCAAAGCCGCGAGGGTTCTGGATTGTGAGGCACCCTCCGAGGTTCGCTCTTTTTGCTGCTTGCTTGCCGTTTTTACCATTGTTGCTTACTTCATTATTACCAGTAACGAAATGAAATGGTGTCCGTCCAAACCACGAGTATATACCAGGACGTACAGTCTACTCGCGCTAATATTACTTATTTAATATTACTTCTCGCTGTTATATTACCTGATTCTTCGGATCCCCCCCCCAGTCCCGCATATCCGTGAATGACGAATGACGTCAGTACCCTCGCAAATCTCGTAGCAGCAAAACAATTGCTCGCAATCCATCGCAAACCATCCAACTCGACAGAGACATACATGTAAATGCCAATGCATGCCGATGAGGTGCCAATAAGAGGCCAACCGGAGCCCCGCACCTCTCCTTGCCTGTCCGATTCTCTGCCAGTCCGCGCAAATCTTCGTACGTGGGGTTTTTCATGGTGTTTTCGCGAGATTTGCGCAGAATGGCAGAGAGGAGACAAAAACAATTCTCTCAGCAACAAAACAAGTGCAAGCAAACCATACCAATCCCTCCAATCCGACTTAGACCAACATGAACGGCGCCGTGACGGCTCTATCCATTCGTACTTTACTAGTGGAACCGGCCCTTGAAAAGCCTAATATTACTTCTCTCTATTATATTACCCGAAGTCCGAAATCCCCCCCAAGTAATATTAGAGCGAGTTGACTGTACAGCGTGCAGCGGTACCACATGTGGCGTAAAGGATACATCATGTAGGCTGGTTATTGCATCCTGCTTCGTGAATAGTTTCAAAATGCCGTGTTTGTGTTATAAAAGTGACGGTGCAACAGAAATCCCAGCGCTTGCGACAACAGCCAACCGACCCACCCAGCACCCAGCCCCTAGCTAGCTCCTCCTCTCTTGTTCATTCAATATCTTACCTTTGCTTTAGACTAGCTAGATAATGTACTGATGTTATGGCGACTCTGATGACGATGCAGACGGCATCTGTTGTCGCATACCTGGTACAGCGTACCTGGTAATTATCGGGACTGTTCCGTAGTACTACTTCGTGAATGACGTCAAGATGCCGCGTTTTATCCTTGCGATCACGTTACTAGTAGTAGATTGTTCCACGTGTAACTTCTGGAGATCCAAGCCATCGAGACAAGAACAGCCCAGCCCAACCCTCACAACCCAAAACAATGATGATGAAGATACCACTACTTTCTTGCTCCACTACGCTCTTCCTCGTATTACTAGTAGTACTAGACTCTTCTACTACTACTACAGTACATGCCATTAGGACTCGGCTAACGTGGGTGAATGGGATTGGCCATACATTGGAGCACATGAACGATGGCAAAACCAAGATTTCCAAACTCTTTGGTGGCAAACGGGTGGATTTCTGTCACAATCCCACCGCCATGGCGCACGACGACGATTATTTCGGCTTTGTGGGAGACTTGTCGCAAGCGGGAACCCAAAAATTGGGTCGCATCACCACCGAAGTCAATGCACTGGTGGCGCATTTGAAAGCCGCCCTCAGCGCAGTCGGTAAGCGTGGAGTGGTGGTGCATATCGCTCATTCCCAAGGAGCCTTGGTGACGGCCTTGGCGGTACGACAATTGACTCTTGTGGAAATGAATCGATTGGAAATTATTGCCTTTGGAGGAGCTACTGCCTTGGTGATCACTCCTACCACACCGTTTCGACGGTGTGTCAATTACTACGCCGCCAATGATCCATTGCTATTGTTAGTACCCGCGGCGCAAGAAGCCTTGCGATCGGGATTTGTCGGAAGCGACGAATATTGTTTCTTGGCACCCCGGGAAGGCGATCCCATGGCCGATCACGGATTGTTGGGATTGACATATGGGCGAGCATTGGAATGGGAGGGACTCCGGTTTCAACGCAAATATCAATCGCCCGTCTATCGAGCCACCCGCACGTTGATTGTCTGGTGGATGGCCGTGCTGCAACTACTGTACACGCGAGTGGTACAGGGGCTGCTCGTACGACCACTCTTGTGGTGGTGCAGGACCAATTATCAATCCGTCGTCATGCTGCGAGAGCTTTTCAAGAGTCGCATTCTGCCTCCCATTCTGATTGCGGCGCTGGTGGTGGCGGATTTTGTGGTGGCCACGTGGGGGCGCCTCACGGGACAACAAGAATACTTGCCAGCCAACAACCTTTTGCTGGTGAAGAAGAAACAACGACAACAAAACAGCAGAAAAATAGAAACGGTCGCCAAGAGATGAAACCGAGTGTTGTTCATGTACCTTTTCTCTCTGGAAGAAGGCCTCGCTAGATCCCCAGGTGAAAGCGGAGCCAGACGACATGTACAATGGAACACATTACTGGTTTTGCCTCCAATGACACAAAACTATAAGCAGCTGTATGCCTCTATTATTCGATTGTTCTAAGAAAAGTGTAGTACGGTGGATTGTGCTTGTGTTGTACGTTGAAGTCTTGCATAGTTGCTTTTCGTTCCAAAATTGCAGTGCTTGGCAGGGCCCTTCTATCCAAGAATGGTGTCTGAAAACAGATTGGTTGTAGTGGTTGCGTCTTTTCTCCAATTCACGCTCAAATGTCATTTTCACGTTCCATTGACAGTTAGTTTGCTTTTACCAGTCATCCCACTCTCGATCCCAGGCATCATTGGTTTTGCTCCAGGATTCTACCTTGGGACCATTCTTGGCACGGGCTTGTTTAGCGTTTGCTTCTGCCTCAAGTTTGCGTAATCGGGCGGCATCTTCATACGCCAGCAAATGGGTTTTGGAACGAGACGCCAGTGTGTCGTCCAAAAATTCATCAATCAACTTGTCCACGCGATACTGCAACAATTTGGTCTGTGTGGCACCGTTCTTGTTCATGGCTTGTTCCACTCGGGACAATGCTTCGCCCGTTTCCAAATCGCGGTGCCACTTTTCTTTCAGTTTGGTCAAATCGACCAACCCGTTGGCCACGGTCGTATTGATAATGGCTGCCAGTTCGGCCTTGAGCGATTCGCGTTCCGCGTCCGTGCCCAAGAAATCCAATTGTCGACCAATGTCAATGCCCAAGGAAGACGACGACTTTTCTTCGTCTGTATCAATATTTGTGTCTTTGGATGTCGTCATGTGAAGATGAGTCAGGGGGGATCTGGTGGTGGTGGATTGTTTTTGAGTGATTGTGCCTCTGGAGTGAGGGCGAAGGTAAGGTACCATCACCCTGAAGGAAGAGGATCCCGGTGGCGAGCCAAGGATCATGAACAGAGTGCTGGCCATAGTCAACCATGGCTGTCGATAACGTACGGTTGTCATAGTGTATTTTAAGGATTGGTGCAGTGATTTTGTGAGCTTTCCTCGATTCGATTTTTTTTCCGTCTTGGAAGTAACCGGTCGGCTTCTCTTCTCTTCTGTTTGGGCGAACACTGCTTGTTCTATGCAACCTTACGAAGAGAACATGTTGGTTTGGTGGCCAATGGGAAATGCCACCGGATAAACCGAACCCCATGGATTCGCAAGCTATGGAAGCAAATATCCTTTCTCACAGAACATGAAGCCAGATGGCACTGACGTGTCAATTGGCAATTGGCATTTGTTATCTAGTTTCTGCCTAACCAGCAAAGCTGTATTCACGTCAGGTTTTTAGGGGAGATCCACCTCCCGATGCTAACCTACCAGCTACGGTAGCTAGCTAGACAATAGCACAACCCTTTCTGCTATTCAGTGGGCTGAAAAGGCAGTTTGTCACATTGAGGCAGATGGTGGGAACCAAGTTGGGAACCATCACCACTGGCAGTTTATCCAACCTGCAGAACCGTATGTACCACAGGTTGAAATCTAGGCCTGTCACCCAACTACGTGCACATGCATTACCAGTCAAGTAACAAACACCACAAGGTGCTACAATAGTCATTGCAAATATCTAAAGAACCAAAATACTTCAGAGCCTGTTCCTAGCTTGGGTTGCTATTTCAACGCACCAATTTGATCATGAATAATCGAATCGAATCACCTACTCACCCCGAACGCATTACCACCTTTGATGCAAAGTAGAAAAAGCTCTTTCATAAGAGTGGGATTATTTTGCATCACCTCCCAGAGTTGTTCTTCAGCGGATGCGGAGTCAGGAAACTTCACACCACGTTCGGCAATCACAGAAACGCACCGCTTTTGGAGAGGTGTTAGCGACTTGTTGCAATAGCTCCGAGAACCACACACAATCCATTCATAATAGAGAAAGTCAAAAACTGAAGTCGAGCTAACGGCAGGCATGTTCTTCTCGCTTGTAAGCTCCATAAATGTGCGAGAATTCAAGGCCTCTTTATGATGGTAAATAAACCATGCTATACGTGTGCTGAAACGTCTGTGGTCCGTGACATGTGAGGAGATTTGCAACCACAATTGGGGGCAAAAGATATCTCTCACAATGGCCATGTCCTCCTGCACTTTCCGAATGTTCTTGCCCACCAATGCAGCAGCAGCTTCAAGAATGGCATCAGCGTTGAAGATCATGGCATGTTGAACAATGGTGGGGCAATCCGTAACCAACAGTTTCTTGTTGATAAATTCGAGGGCATCCCGTCTCATTGAGTCAATTTCAAAGTATTGCGCAAGATGATACAGTGGGACTACTGTTTGCACACTGATATTCAGTTCCATGCTGTGGTCGTACAAGTAGTCAAGCAAGTCAGGAAATGCTTTGGCTGCCAGATGATGAAGCTGGATGGAGCTGGTGGATTGTTTTCCCTCTGAAAATTTGTCACAGTTTTGGAAGAGGCGTGCGAAGTAGGTGCTCTTGCGGCTGCCACAGGCAAGGTGCACCTTGTGAACATGATATGTGTCGACCTGGGCTTCGTTTTCATCAAAATCCTCATCATCACTATGATGGTACACAATCTCAAACTTCCAGTCACTGTATGTAGTTACAGGATCCCACCGCCACTTTAGGTCAGCAGCTTCATCATTGGTTGCATGGTCTCCACCTACATATGCCATTTCTACCTCCAAAATACTCGTTGTTGCAACAAAAGCTGGTTCTGCAGCAAAAACATGGTATGACCAGCAGGAGCAGAGAACTTGAGATGCGTTTTGTGACCAAGTAAATGGTCTGAAGCTGCAGCGTGAGGGCGGAGCTTGCCGTGGAATTGTCCGAAGTCCGGCGACATGAAATCGTGGATCGAGAGCGACGTGGTACAGGTAATTGGTTGGACTATTCCACGATGCAGTTTTTGGGTTTACATTCGGCTTCGCTCAGGGCGCCTTGGTCAGCTATCGAACGCAACCAGGAGAAAGCAGCTGCGGGTGCAAGTCCGAACTCGATTGTGCAGTGAGCGTGGACACGATCGTGGAAGTTGTGCGAATCGTGGATCGAAAGTCACGCTGCAATTCGTGAGGTCTCCTCACGATTTAAACATGGAAGGGGGTCTGGGGGTGGCTCGTGCAATTTACTTTGGCTCTTTTGAATAGGGGCAAAGAGTACAAAAGCTGATTCTGCAATTATGAGGTCAAGTTGAAGCGACTTCAGTGTGTTAAAGCATGCACTAGTAATTAGTAGGAATTGAGTGAAAGGAAATCCTTATCACACTTTAAACCATCACTTTTGGGGATGGTTTGAGGAGAAAAAAAGTCTTAATACTCTCCATGAACAGCACAAGGTGATTTAACAACATGCTCATCAGGAGAAACGCCTAAGACATTTTATGCAAAACTTCATGATCTTTCAGCTCTCGTGGTCAGCCAACAATTATTGTGACGAGTAACATAACAATAGCACAATAGTAACACAATCGCAGAATGTCATTGATCAACAGCCTCCGTGGATCGATCCCTACTGCTATTATCAAGTGTTTTATTGGCTATCCAAGGCACAGCATTGCCTTCTCTCCCTCATTGAATACCAATTGTAAACAGGAGATAAATCTAATGCACTAAGCTTGACCAACAAGAGTACTCGTGGTGTTGAATCAGAACCGATCCATCGAACGGCTTTAATGACTGGTACGGAGCGAGGTAAGCCTGCCTACATGTATTATCAATGGTATTATTGAAGGTGTATCTATGTTTTGTAACGTACACCTAGCAACTGATGGTACGATAGTGCTAGCTATCGGTAGCTAGCCAGCTTACGATGTAACATACCGACAGTAACGGTAGCTAGTCGTAAAGTCCCAGACAAAAGCTCCAAGCTGGAGCTGTGGGAGCTGCCAAGCTGTGACAAAAGCTCCAAGCTGAGACAAAAGCTTTAATAAGCTGGGAGCTGCCAAACTGGGACAAAAGCTCCAAAAATCTAAATCACAATGGTAGGGGTTGCCCACTGGCTGAGCCACAGCAGTAGTGATTGCTCATGGATTTGATTCCAATTGTGCCAATAGTACCAAGTAGCAGTCACAACGCTAGCTAGTGGTAGCAATGCGGTGGCATGGTTCGTTGCCTAGCTGCTTGTCGCAAATTCATTATGGTTGTGGTTGCCAAGCTCGTAGAATTGATCGGCAGTTGATTTGCTAGTACGATATCGCTCAAACACCGTGAGGGTTTGTTGTTGTTGTTATCCATATTGTTTCAGCAAGGTTCCGTATTGCTACTATTGCTAGTACTTCGGTGGTCACTCAGATGAACAGCACTATTTTTTGCCATCGTGCTGTCATGGCCGATATCCAGTTGGTGGTTGTTGCTGTTGCTGATTGATTGTTGGCCGCTCAAACGCCGCTGGTGAATGGTGCTATTGCTGGATGTGAGGACAGGTGTCGTGTAAAAGACATTCCAGGTCAGTTGGAGTGCATTGGCTTTCACCCCCAAAATTCCCAATGTATCGAACTGGTCCGAACTGGTCCACATACACTACCGTCTCTTTTCCCACGACTTTGTTCGAAACACCATTGATACGATTCCCGGCCTGGTTGTCATGAGCACGGAGCATGACAGGCGGTACTTCATTCCTTGGTGCTGTCTCTTTTCCCACTGCTTTGTTCAAAACACCATTGGTACGATTCCCAGCCTGGTTGTCATGATCACGGAGCATGACAGGCGGTACTTCATTCCTTGGTGCTTTTTCATGCTGGGAATTTTGACGGTGCTGACGCTTTGGGAGATGGTGTTGGTGTTGATGCTTCTGGCGGACCTTCTTGTTTTTCTTGGATGCTATTATTTCTGGTCTCGGCTCGTTCACTGGGAATGGTATTGGAATAGCTGGCTGGTATTGTGAACTAGAGCTTGTCTACCACCAATGACAATGACAACAGACAATGACAACGACAACGTAAAGCACTCCTGATGGACTCGTGATGGCCAGTGAAGCACTCCTGATGGACTCGTGATGGCCAGTGAAGCACCCGTGATGGCCAGACGGTCAGCGGTGCGTGAAAAGATCCAGCGTCTGGCCTCAGACCAAACCTTCAAAGTTTTAACCCAACAAGAACGCGACAAAATTTCCAAATATAAAGATGCGTGCGAGTCCAATCGCGCTTCCTTCCACCCCTTTGTTGTTTCAGTGGATGGCATGCTTGCCCCTCAAGCCAAGACTCTCTTACAACGCCTTGCTTCTGCTACTGCCTCCAAAACTCAATTTTCCTACTCTCAAATGATGTTCTTCATGCAGACCCGTATCTCAATTGCCCTTGTGAAAGCTACCCATTTATGTCTCCGTGGATCCCGTAAAGCCAAACCCTTTGCCCCCCGTACTGGTCCTCAATTTCTTGCCCCTGATCCCACAGAACCTAGTCCTGAATTTCGACTGTTCTTTGCTTGGGCCTGGCCCCGGCTGGCTTCCGTAGATAATTTCCCTACTCTAAAACCCCCCTTAACCTTCCTGCCCTAATTATTGAAGTGGGGACGACAAACCTTTGACTGCTACAACGAGCCTTGACTGATTCAAGAAGTAGCTAGCTACATGCACTGGTACAGGCTGAAGGTGAAAAAGAACAAAACAGAAGAATAAAAAGAGCTATAAAAAGCTGATGAATCAGCATGACCTGATTGTCTTTTCCCAGATTCGATTCCTCGCGCCAGATCCATCCAAGAAAAGAACAAAAGTGAGGAATCGGGGCTGCAGAGGTGCATGAGCCTTTTCGCGCGAAGCTTCACTACGTAAACCGAAAACCGACGCGGCTGTTGCGGCTGTGGCTTCTCGTCTTTGACACTTCTCGTCTTTGGCACCCCTCTCCTGGTTACTTCAATCAATCCATTGTTGCCTCTAACTATAACTAACTATGGATCCTGAAGGTTTCAGATATGGAAGCTCCACGGAGGAGGGATCAGACTCTGATGAAATCTCTGCAATCACCGAACCTAGCGGTATCCACGACCAACCCATCTCCGATCAATCCGCTGCTCTCGCCGAACCTACCAGTACCGCTGGCACGTACAACAACAACAACAACAACAACAAACTACCTGCAGAACAGTCAGGCAACGACTCTGGCAATGAGGCAGACATTGACGCATACTCTGGCAGTAGTAGTGACTCCAGTAGTGATAGTGATGATGATGATGGATTCACAGAAGACGACAACCAGGAAGATCCAACAAAGGAATTGTCACCCAACCAAGCCACAGGACGCAACAATGCCACCATCATGAACGAGCTTGCTGCGGATCTTTGTGGGCAAAATAATCCCTCCAGAATGGAGCTGACTCAGGAAGAGCATCAGTGGGCCGTTGCCATCAAAACTGCCATTGAAAAAATCCCAGATCTTGATAATTTGACGGATTTTGTGTATGCTCAGATAGCCATTGTTTCTCAAGGCAATGTTGACGATGCCGTTGTGAGGGCGTTCAGACTTCAAGAGCATAAGAAAGACAATGAAATAATGGACACATTGGATGATGCACTGAGGAATTTGCCGAAAGAAGCTAGTTTCCTCTCTATTGACTACAATCTCCAATCTGGTGGCTACGTTATGTCTTTGGATGCTACAACGATCAATGGAGCCATGTGGAGGAATCCAGAGGAGACACGCTCCTACAACCGCAGGCAATTCTATGCTTCCTATATGTCATTTTGTGATTTTGAGGCACTCAGGGGTGGCGTTACTATTCTTATTGAATGTGAGGGGCACCAGATGGTCAAAGGGAAATCATTTGACTTGACTGCATTTCGATCAGTTTGGAGGAGTGTGCATGCATATCCAAGAAATGTGCAGCAAGTCAAATTTTTTAATGCTCCTCCACTCTTCAAGATGATGGTGTCAATGGCAAAATCAGTTTTGCCCAGAGAAATCACATCTAAATTTCATCTTTCTGCCAAATGTCCATTGGGAAGACTGGACCGGCTGTACTCCCTTCCAACCCCCGAAATAGCAAGTGCAAGGTTGAAAGAGCGAATGAAAGGGCTTCTAGCAAGACGATTTGCCAATGGGGCAAACTTTTGTCTTGGATGACCATGCTCCTTTTGTGGACAAGGGGCCAAAAGGTCTGGCGATTCGATTCATGATCAAATTGGTGCGTTGAAATAGCTACATGCACACAAGTTCAGCCCACTGAATAGCTGAAAGAGCTGGTTGTGCTAGCTATAGCTTTCGTAGATACGACGTTTGACTTCCAGCAGGCCGTACTTTGTTAAAACTAGCTAGTGACTAGTCTTACTTATGTAGGAAATACCAAGGGCGTGTGTTGGGCCGACAGCAAGCTTTTGCCGAGTTTCCTCCAGCGTCAGGTCCTTTCAGATCGGGTAAAAGGCTGTCGATCCGTTCCACCCAACGAGGAACAACCACTCCTGCCACCACCAACATGTGCAAGACTTGCTCGTGGCCGCCACCAGTGCCTTCGAAAATCTGTGTCAAGCCCATGAACCCGACGATACCCGCCACAACCAACTGAAAGGCTGGAAACAAGATGATGGTGTTTGGCCTATCGAAGTATCGACTCCACAAGTTGGCATACAAGGAAATGGCAATGGAACCCATGAAGGAGCCCACGTACGGAGCATCAAAAAACCGGATGCCAAAGTATGAAGTGGCATAGCCAACGTTCATGCAAATGATGGCGCCAATCAAGTCTCTGCCCGTCATTTGGAAACCGCACGTGGCAATGGATGAACAGAGAATGGGTATGAACAGTAGCTGCCATAGGAACGGAATTGGCTCCGTGTCCATCATCATCTTGGCTTTGGCTGCCTCGTCGGCCATTTCAGGAGCCATTGCAGTGACAAAGGACATTCCCAGCACGTAACCAAGGGCAAGCCATGTCATGATGACGAGTCCCTTGATGAGTCGCTCAAAACCCGAGATCACGTGATTGGACACCATGTCATTGATGCCCAAGACGATGGTAGAGCTCGGAAGCAAGATGGCAACACCAGATAGAGTCACAATGGTGGGATCCACTTCTGGCCTCACAAGTTGGACAGCAAAGCCCAGAGTCGAACACAAAAAGGCCGCCACCAAGTTCATCCAGATGTGGACACGCGTGGACCAAGCATCAAACAAAACAATAACACCGTAGGCCAGGCCTCCGGCAAAGAATCCGACCAGCATATCCCACCAGGTTCCTGCAAGCAGTGCTGGAAGCGTGGCACCAACGGCCAAGAAGCAAATCGCGCTGAACATGATACCCCACGGATTCGGAGCGGTTTCAATCTCATCGAGTCGCTTGTTGGCCTCCTGGATACCGATCTTGCCATCGATGAGGTCCTTGGCAAGATCCGACAGTTGGCCAAGCTTGGTCAGCTGAAAGCCGCCGGCTTCAACGGCAACATTCTGAGTGCGCACAATCGTCTCATTGGTGTTCAGAGGGTCCCGCTGTTCAAAGTTGCAAGACAGTTCATGCGTACTGAAGGTGAAGAATCCATAGTACCCAAACACCGACATGAGTCTCGGGAGGAAACGTTCCAGGTTCTCGGCAATGCTTCCGTTGTTGATGGCCGCGGCACCAAAACGGGCAGCGAAGCGGCAAGTTGCATTGAAATCGGCATGGACTAGCGCCCCTGCTTCCAAATCGTCATCGGAATCGTCGGCGGTTGAGGACACATCGAGCGCGACACCGGTTTCCAACGTTGGTTCTTTAGAGTCAATGGTCTCGTTGTGGTCAATGTGTACCTCGTCACCATCATCATCTTCTTCAACAAAGTCGATCGAATGATCGTGTCCGTCATGGCTGAACAACCATACATCAGTAAAATCCTGCTGCTCACCTTCTAACCCCGTAACGACGGGGACGTCGGGAGATGATTCCATGATAAACGCGAAGGCAGACTAGCTCGAGATGCTTCCTGGGCTCGATTGGACTGTTTATGGATCCTTCATCCGGGCAATCCTCGCAACCAACACATTCTTTCTTCTTGCTTCTTCGAAACGTGCGCTTCAGGATCCACCTTGAGGTCATTGGAACGTTGCTGATTGTATTCTCGTTGAAGGGGGGCATGTTGGCACACGCTTGCATGGTGTGCGGGGACTGTGGAGGACTTGCGAAGGAAGTGGTTGGATCCTGGTTCCGCTATTCGTCTGTCCTTTGTCCGTGATTCCCGCTAGGTTTCCTCGTTTCGCAGCCACGCTTTGGAGAGGGTCGAAAACAGCAAACGAAGATCTTTTGTCCACAACCCAGATTGTGCAGAACTCGAATGCATCTACTAGTACTAGTGAGATTATTAGGCATACGAACTTCCTGGGTCATTCCCCTCCATGGATCCAAGCAACTCTTCCAAGCAACTCTTCCTTTGACGGACTCTTGTGAGGGGCGGTATTTAGTGGCGCATTTTGCTCTGAGCTTCTTGTCCCCACTTCTAGATCACCCTGATCAACTACTAGTCCAGTTGGTTGGTTTCGTAAATCATATTCTGCCAAAACCTCTGTACTCGCCAGCCAAGCTTGCATAGTACTGGCATCCCCCATAGCTGCCAACAGGGGACCAAAGAGCCCATGGAACTCAAATGGTGTCAATGCATAGAGAGCATCAGCGCCTCTTGTGATCAATCCATGCTCACCTAGCAGATAAGGAGTCCCAGAAAGAACGTGAGAATTGATTGGGTCCAACACGTTGTGCGTGGAAAGACGCTGCCAAACCTACCAACAAAATAAAGAGCTTCGAATGCCACAGCACGAAAGGCTTTCCTTGCTCGTCCTGGTATGGACCATTTTTCTGCAACATATCTCAAAGAATCAATTGTCACCGCTAGTGTATTGTCTTCAATTTCAATGCTTGACTGATAGCCCGCAATGTCCGTGGCAATGATTTCAGCAAAACGCTCCTGCACCAGGGCTCTTAGTGCAAACGAAGGTTTCTTCATTGGCTGGTTGCTTCTTCCCAGTACAGGTTTCATCACTGAGGACTGCATGGACAAATAGCGTGAATCACTTTCTCCAGAGTTGATGGATTTGTGTACTGCCTCGATGACATCTTTCATAGTCTCCATGGTTTGTCCCTTTGAGCGGCGCCTCGTCGCCTGGCCGCCCTCTAGGCTGTTCTTGAGAATGCGTTGTCGACGATTGATCACTCCATCATCTTTTCCTGGAGATCCAAAGAGACTTGATCGGGATGCCTTTACTACTGGGGAGGCAACCGATGCGTCAACAGGGTTGGTAGGAAGGGCATCAAAGGCTGGACGACGACCTGGAAAGTGCCGTGGACGGTGAGATGGCTTGGATACTGCAATGGCTTGTTGTTGATGTTGTTGTTTGGCAGCATGAGGACTCGTGGCGACGGGTGCTACCAAATCATCCGAATCTGCCGATGGAAACGACTGAAGCTCCATCTCGTTCACACGCTGTTGTTGCCCATGATACGCACGCTTCAAGACCTCGGCACGTTCCGACTCGAACTGTTCTTTGGCTCGTGCCAAGCGTTTCCTCATTCGTCGTTCAATCCGATTGATATTCTGTGTGCTCAGTCCAATGTAAAATGTGGCAACATTTTGCAAAAACATGGACATGAATCCGGCAGAAAAAGGGAGCCACAATATGCAGAAACAAATACTGCTGGTGTGTTGGGGTGTATAGTCTCCAAAGCCAACCGTTGTCAGGCTGACCACGGCAAAGTAGAGCGCTTCCACTCCATTCCAACCTTCCACGATTCCCACAAAACAGGCTCCCACAGATACCAACCCCGCAAAGGGTAACAACACCGACAGTGATCTCCCATATTCATTGTACAGGAAGAACCGCTTGGCTCGTTCATACCATTTTACCATGACATGTTCCTGTGTGAACACACTGTCGACGACACTCGCTTGACTGTTGTTGGACTGAACTGTACTATTTTGTGTGGATTGTTGTTGTTGACTGTTGTTGTCCAGACTCTGCCGTTTTTGACGCGCCATGGTTCGTCGGTCTCGGGCATGCTGCGCTCGTGCCGTCTCCAGGGCAATACACTGGTACACTTGTGCCACCATAATGGTCAATGTGGCAATGCCCACAAAAATGTAGAGAATGGTAAAGGACTGGAAACCGGCATCCTTGGGAATGTCGGAATTGCCGTATCCCACCGTGGTTATGGTGTAGACCGAAAAGAGGAGTGAATCCTGCAACGTCCATTCTGCACGACGTCGAAAAAAGGTGGTGCCCAACATTAAAAAGAGGAGCATAAACAAGACGGAAATACAGGCGGCTTGTCGTACGGATGTGTACCGCGCCATGTAGCCAATTTCTCGTTCTTCCAGTGCATGGTCGTATTCTTCGTCCAGTCGTTGAAAGATTTCCATGTCTTCCAACGTGAAGGATGGTTGATGTTGTTGTTGCTGTTGTGCTACCGACGGTTGTGCCGTGCTGTGGGCCGATTTTTTGGCTTTGGTGGTTCGAATGATGGAAATGGGTGGGGCATCCTGAGCTTCCGAGTCAGAGTTATCCACCGACTTGTTGTTGGTCTGCGGATTTGATGGCTTCCTTTGCTTGGGAGACTTTGATCTGGCAATCACTTTCTCGGCAGAATCTTCTTCCTCATCGGACGACCAGTAGGACGTGGGGCTAGTAGGACGACCCCTTCTCTTGCGCTTGGCTTTGCCCTTTTTTCTTCTGGTTTTACGGGCTCCTGCCCTAGGTTCGTCCAGAAAATTTTCTGGAGAAGCAGGTCCTTGTTCTGCTGGCTCACTCTCCTCAAATATCACCATTTCGGGAGCTGCACGGTATGACGGTGGGGCTTCCGTTCTTGTTACTCTTGATTCTGGAAGAGAATTGTGCGAGACATGACCTAGGTTTGGTGGCAAAGCACTCGATGTCTCATCTCTTTGGTTAGGATCACAAAGATCCATACCAACATCTGCACTCATGGTGTGCACAGCTAGCAAGCTAGTTTCTTCTGGACCGCTCCAGTGGTTGAATGCCGTAGAACGTGGTCTTTCCACTTGCCATGGTCAGGCTTTGGAGGGCAACATGCGTTGACCAAAAAATGAACGTACGACTGTAAGCCAGTGGTGCTGCTTTAAAAAAAATGGTGGAAGGAGTCAAGCGGTCAAGCTTCTAAAAGGGAGAGGGGCTACTATTAGATTATCCCCTACCGGTACCGGTGGGGATCCCAGTATGGCTTTGAAAGAATTGCGGGTCCATTCTGTTAAACAAAGTCAAAAAGGGGAGGCTCTAGCTAGAGAGAGAGTTCATCGACGAACATTCATGCAACAGCTACATGCATGAGCGTCTCTCAGCTAACCACCGAGGATAGTCGGACCCAAACTAGTTCGGGCTGGGAGCTTGGCTTGGTGCCATACTTGGAGATTCACTCGGAACTGGGCAGGCATAACACAAAGGAGACCATGTCACTCCATCGGACTGCAATGTTGGAGTGGGGTTTGCTTCTTCAGGACAGGCAGTACCCAAAAATGCTAACTGTGTAGTAACTCCAGAGGAGGCCATATGATCATTCCAGGAACACAGATTTTGGCTGAAGGTAGGTGAATCCCGAAACCTGACAACAAAACGATAATAGAAGCAGCGTTAGTGGAATCTGAAGCATTTGGCCATCAGCACATATAGCAAGCAACCACTCACATTGTTTGAAATTCTGTAACCTTTCCAACATCCCATCCACTGATATCATAGTTGAAAACATCCATATAAGCCAGCATTTGATACATGTCAGTGACTTTTGACACATCCCAACCAGAGATATTTTGGTTGAAAGCATTTCCAAAGCGCAAGAATCCATACATGTTGCCGACATTTGAGACATCCCAATTTGTGATGGGAGCATTAAACTTGGAAGCTACTCCGAACATTATGCCCATGTCAGTGACTTTTGAAACATCCCATCCAGAGATATCTTTGTTGAATTCATAGTTTCTTTTAAACAAAGAATTCATGTTGCTCACATTTGATACATCCCAGTTTGTAATTGGGGCATTGAAGACACTGCAGGATTCAAACAAGCCTTCCATTGAAGTGACTTTAGAGACATCCCATCCACTGATGTCTTGATCAAACACACTTGCACCCTTGAACATGAAGGCCATGGTTACCACTTGGCTTGTCTCCCAGTCAGTAATATCATCATTGAAAGTTGAACGTGAATCAAACAGATAGCTGAAGTCTGTTACCCTCGAAACATCCCAAGTGGAGATGTCCCCATACTGAGACGACCCTGTGGTGATCCAAGTATCGATTTCTGCCAACAGCTCAGTTCTGTCATCAATGGCAAAGCTGGGAGCTTGACTTGGAACTTGGCTTGGAATGAAACTGGGAGTTTGACTTGGGGATTGACTGGGTTTGCTGCTTGGAAAATCACTTGGGGCCAAGCTGGGGAGAGTACTTGGGATTTGACTTGGTGAAACACTTGGCAAGTTGCTGGGGGGTAGGCTTGGTGTTTTGCTAGGCATTGTTGATGGTGACAAACTAGGCAAATTGCTAGGAAAGCCACTGGGTTGAAGACTTGGCGCATCACTTGGGGGAAGGCTTGGGAGATCACTTGGTATCATGCTTGGAGAAGAACTTGGAAATCTGCTTGGAGCACTACTAGGTTCGAAACTAGGCAAGTCACTTGGTGACTGGCTGGGAAGATCACTTGGCATCATGCTTGGAGAAGAACTTGGAAATCTGCTTGGGGAAACACTGGGTTCAAAACTAGGCAAATCACTTGGTGAATGGCTGGGAAAATTACTTGGCATCATGCTTGGAAGGAAGCTTGGGAGAGCACTGGGGTTGGCACTAGGTTTCTGACTTGGTCTGGTACTAGGTAACATACTTGGGACATTGCTGGGTGAGGAGCTGGGTGTCATGCTGGGGTTTCTGCTTGGGACCGCGCTTGGGACATGGCTTGGCAATGTGCTGGGGGAAAGGCTTGGTAATGTGCTTGGCACTGTAGAGGGGGGTAAACTTGGCAAACTGCTGGGCAAATCTG